CTACATTATGAATGCAGAAGTGCGACACGCAAGGACCATCAGACAGCAGACTCTTGCATGTACATAGAAGATTTCTGCCCCCAATGTCATATGGGACTTATGCTCTGCACTCTAGCTATACATGTCTTCCCAAACAACTGAATGTCAGAATGCCAGCTTATAACTACTCTGCATACCCAAGCTCCCCAAAACCTGCACTGTAAAGCACCATCAGGCAGGAAGGGGCTGGATAAATAACAAACATGACTATAACTTGTATAGAAATGAAGAATTCTGCCCAGAACTATGGGGAGTATAGTAAAACTTATGTACGTTAAGTTATGCAGGTCACTACTTCAGAATGTATGATAAAAAAATCTGCGCTAATGGAATAAAAATAGCTGGAAAAAACGGACTAGCTAAAAGCTGCTAAACTCAGGTGGTAAAGCCTTAGTCAGTGAACAGAAAAGGTACAGCGCTAAAAGCCTCTCTGTGATATACACTCATGTGCAAACATATAGTAAATACATAATTATAGACAAATCACATCATATAAATAATCAAAACCTCAACATGAGGAACACTGAAAGTGCCAATATGTGAACAAATACAAAAATAAAGTGACTGTGTAAAAAGTGATCCTAAAACTCAATTGGTATAATCCCACCGTATAAAAAAATTGTAGCAAAAAGTATTCCCCAAAGTAAACCACAACTTGTTTCAATGTGATGAAAAGTTTCTTTTTTTGTCCTTTGTAAATTCCCAACAAGAAAGGAATTAAGTGAAGATGAAAAAAGGAACAAAGTATGTTTTCTTTCCAGGTGCTATAAAAATCCCAGTGTAACTAATACGTTTTCCAGATCGGTACTTCCTTAGTGTGTTCAGCAGGAAAGATCCCCCTCCAGGGTCTGCACTCACCACAAAGTAGGACTGTAGAGCAACAGCCAGACACGCTAAGATAGGAAAAGTTCCACGTCCTCACGTACCTCCAACCCGTTAGGATCCCATATTCAACTCCAATAAGGACCACAAGTTGCTCATGTCAAGGTCACTGGTGGAAGGTGGCTGACCCTGGTGAAGACTATTCCCTTCTTTCATGCTGTCAGTGTGATTTTACACCATGAGCATCTCCGCTCTTTTCCTTTATGGTTCTTATTGAAGTAAAATATGGGATCCTAACGGGTTCGAGGTACGTGAAACTTTTCCTATCTTAGGCCTTGTTCACACCTGACCGTTTTGTAGGGCGTTCTACGCTCGACGAACGCTCTACAAAACGGTCAAAAATATAAATTGCATTGTAGTCAATGCCCTCGTTCCCACCTTGGCGTATTTCCGCCCGTCCCTAACGCCCTACAAAATTGCCCACGCCTGAAAAGGTCCCGGGACTACTTTGGCCCGTTTTGTAGGGCGTTTTCCATTGGGATACAGCCAAGTAGCCTTTGGGGTCGCGCGACTTTTTACCACAGACGCGCATATTACAATACGCCTAGGTGTGAATGGGGCCTAAGGAAGTACCGATCTGGAAAACGTATTAGTTACACTTGGATTTTTATAGCACCTGGAAAGAAAACATACTTTGCTCCTTTTTTCATCTTCACTTAATTCCCTTCTTGTTGGGAATTTACAAAAGGACAAAAAAAGAAACTTTTCATCACATTGAAACAAGTTGTGGTTTACACAACTTGGGGAATACTTTTTGCTACTATTTTATACGGTGGGTTTATACCAATTGAGTTTTAGGATCACTTTTTGTTTACAATCACTTTATTTTTATATTTTTTCACGTATTAGCACTTTCAGTGTTCCTCATGTTGAGGTTTTGATTATTTATATGATGTGATTTTGTCTATAATTATGTATTTACTATATGTTTGCACATGTGTTGCACTTTAAATGCACTTTGAGTGTATATCACGGAGAGGGTTTTAGCGCTGTACTTTTTCTGTTTACTCAGTACTTCAGAATACCGTGCCGATAGCAGTATAAAAACAACCTTTAGATAAAAAAGCCACACGATGTTCAAATATAGCTTAAAAGACATATATAGTACACAACTCCTCACATTACCTGCAGATCATGTACATTTCCTATCCAACTCTGCAGTAACCATTAGGGCTTCCACACACCAGATGCATTCAGGTTTGTTTCTAAAAACGCATTACAAAAAGGCATGCACAGTTAAGACAATGTTTTATTAAAATCCACACCACTATGTTCAGTACCAGTGCTTTAAAAAAGCAATATAAACTGTCACACATTACAAACGCATTAGCAAAGCATGGAGATACTCAAGCAGAACTCACACTGAATGCAGAAATTGTAGTGTGGACAAGCCCATACCCCGCCAATATAACAATTTATGAAACGTGTATATTGTGATACAGGGCTGAATTAAACTAACGTCAACCATCTAAGCAGGTGCAGGAATGACAAGGCCTCACTGTCCCAAATTGTCTACAAAAGTTGTTTAAGGCACTATGCCTTTTCTTCATCATACTTCTGTCCTTTCCAGGCTTGGGAGGGTATAGGTGCCAGGATTTCATCAAAACACTGATGCCATGATTCTCACAGGCTGGGGATTGTACGAGCGTTATAAAAGCACCTCACCATGAGGGAGTGAGGACCTGAAGACTTGCTTCATCTTACTAAAGTCTACTGGGAATATTTGCCCTACCAAAGGAGGACTTTGTTGAACCTACAAGACCTGATAAAGCACTAGGTGGTGAGAGGAAGGTTGGATTGGACCCTTCTCGGTTTTTACTAGTTCAAATAATGAACTACAGGGGGAAATGAGGTAGAAAATTAATTTTCTACGCCCACAAAATATGAAATCCCGCTATCTTGTCTATAACAACTAATTTTTTTAAGTTTAAAAAAAAACAATTAATTACCTTTTTATTGTTACCTCCATCTTTAATTTTGCTTTACTCACCTCCATTTCAACTTTCGAAATGTATCAAAAAGTCTTATGGTTTCCTGTAAAAACGGAAAAGTAGCACAAGTTCGAAACCAGACTAGGTTTAAAAGGAGAACTATGAGGCGAGTGCTTTTCACTCATCCTCATAGTTCTAGCCGACCTGTGACAATGAGACTGTCACAGGTCGGCTCAGTGGATCGGCACGTGAGCGAACACATACCGGTGTTCGCTCACCTCTCGATCCTGGAAGGACGCACAAAAGGAGGGGGCGGGCATAGCTGGCTCTGCCTCTACAGAGGCAGAGCCAGCTGCCAATCAGCCAGTTGGGTGGATCTTGACAGTATTTCCCGCTATATGCTGAGTTTTGGGTCATCACAGCACAGTATATGCACTCCTGTGACCCTGAGGAGAACTATGGGCAACAAAGGTTGCCCCATAGTTCTCCTTTAAGCACCTCAAAACAGACCGAGTTTTTGAGGTGACCGGTATTGGAGGACACAAATTTTAGGTATATATTTTTGGTTTTGGACAACTAACTATTTTGCTGCTGTGCTAATCAATCAATTTCTATTGGATGATTTATATCTTCATATCCACCCATTGGGGATGTAACTGGGATGCATCTCATTAAATCATGCTAATATCTTCAGTTATATAAACTAATGTAACCAATAGTAACATTTGCAGAAGACAATCTGACATTGTGTCCATTACGTATTGTTAATTCAATTTTATTGATAAGAACATTTACTGATCTTCGTGGTCTGTCAGTTAAACTCACAATTGAACATAACTTCTAGGTTTTTTTCTGTTTTTTCTTTCTATATACAGTAGTTAGAACAACTGAGAACTAGGGCTGCAACCAACGAATCGATAAGGAGAATAGTTGCCAACTATTCTCCTTATCGATTAGTTGGTTGGATCCCCTAGCTCTATGCTCCATGCTGGGAGGAGGGCACAGCAAGCAGTGGGTGGGTGCAATAGCCAGCCTGCTATTGCAATTTGAAATGGCCAATAGCAGGCTGGCTATTGCACCAGCCCACTAGCTGCTGTATATACATTCAGCTGCCATCTGCTAAATCTTGCCAAAAAGGTATGGTCTTTACAGCGGTTTCCGTTCTTCAGCAGTAACAAGGGATCGCATTTATAATGATTATTTTGTTTAGATTTACTTATGATTAAACACACCTAAAAATTAGCTCATGAAACATTTCCTGACATTAAGCTATATTCTTCAGTGAAACTACCTACCCATCTGTGACCCCAACATGCACTGCTCCCCCTCCCAGTCATGTCACCAGACTTTGCTTCCATCCTTCTCACCTCGTCATCTGTTGGCTACCCTCTTGCCACCATACCAGATGTTTGTCTACCCCTTCAAAAGCACCTGATTGTACAAGGGATTGTCAAGCAGCCTGTTCACCTCTTGGATTAACCATGCCATCTACAAGCTCATGGACCATTTCAAAAACACAGATGTCACCTGCGATGATGCTCACGGTACAGCTGTCACCTCTGGGGAAGCTCACGGCACAGCTGTCGCCTCTGGGGAAACTCACGGCACAGCTGTCGCCTCTGGGGAAGCTCACGGCACAGCTGTCGCCTCTGGGGAAGCTCACGGCACGGCTGTCGCCTCTGGGGATGCTCACGGCACGGCTGTCGCCTCTGGGGATGCTCACGGCACGGCTGTCGCCTCTGGGGATGCTCACGGCACAGCTGTCGCCTCTGGGGATGCTCACGGCACAGCTGTCGCCTCTGGGGATGCTCACGGCACAGCTGTCGCCTCTGGGGATGCTCACGGCACAGCTGTCACCTCTGGGGATGCTCACAGCATAGCTGTCACCTCTGGGGATGCTCACAGTACAAATGTCACCACATCAAGCATCACTCACCTGTTGTCACAATAAACCCTCCCTGTCCAGCTGTGACCATAGCAGTGACCTTCTGCCATCTAATGCCATGCTCCCCGGTCATCTGTGCCCTCCCAAAGCATTGCCTGCCCACCTATCAGCACTCGGGACCCAGACAGACACTTATCCCAACACATCAATGATCGGGGATCTGACTGATCTCTGACACAACGAGCAGTCGCCGCCTCCTTTACCTGTAGTAGGACAGCAGACCATTGCTCAGCACGAACCAGCGCCTCTGATAGCCCTTCAGGTAGTTCGTCCATTTGAAGAGCCAGCCTTTATAGGTGTCGGGGGCGGCGGGTGTGCCCTGGAGGGCTGATCCTGAATTACTCATGTCTCTGAGCCCAGGGCCCTCCGGGATGATCTACGGGTAGTAGAGACAGCGCAGAGCAAACACACCAGCCCGCTGGAGCCAGGAGGAGCGGCCGCTCTCCCTATAGACCAGCTCCTGAGTGGGCGGGGACACGGCCACACGACACGCCTCCTCAGCACGTGACTGCCAGAGGTACGGCATCAAAATAAACACGGTGTCACGTGACTTGTCCCCCGCTGGCGGCTGTGCCCTCGCGGGAAGAAGGGGAGTTGTAACGTGATGTGGTGAGTAGCAGTGGGCGACGGTGGGTGGTCTCGCCTGAAGGTGAAAGGTCACCGTGTAAGGCTTGGTTGTTTCCTAACGGGTCTCTCCGCAGCTACACCCTGCCATAAGGAAGAAGAGAGGATCACTGATGTTAGTTGTATTAAGCGGTCTCATCAGGACGAGTCTTCAAATCACTGTCTTAGTTTTAGTTACTTCTTGTCAGTATTGTGTGGCCTTAAAGGCTCAGTCCATGTTTTGCAAAAATGTAACAATTGCCCCAACGTTAATACAAAACATTATGCATTGCAACTGTGATCAGTGGATGGCGGGTGCAATGTTCAGGCTCCTGCAGACTCTTCTTCCAGGCACAGAGGTAAAGATCTTCTGTTATGGGGCTGGAGGAGGTAATCAATGGAGGTCACCGCACTCGTGCTCCATTGCAAGTCCCTCTGTCAAGGTAGGAGATGGGACTTGTAGTCATCACATTCACAGATCCTGTTAACAGGTGACTAGTGATAAGTTCGGGGTTGGTGCAAACCTAAATGGGTAGATTGAGCATATATTTCTTCCCTGAAAGCTCATTATGACCGATGTAATTAAATGAAGGACTGGTTCAGATGAGGAGACGATCTGATCCAAGATTCTCGTACACCTGTGCTGGGAGGATCTGTGCTGTGCCCGGAACTGCTAGGTATTGCAACTGACAGAACGGGAACAATGAGGACATTAAGGCCTTGTTCACACCAAATGCAGAGCAGATCCGCTCAGGTTTCTGCACACGCAGTGCAGTGGGTTGTGCTGCGTTTTTGGTGCGTTTTGGTTAAAAATTTTGGTTTGCATGCGTTCCAGAGCAGGTAAAATAGGGCTTGCTGCAGTTTTTTCACCTGCTCTGGAACTGAATGCTGCGATGTGAACTGGAGCAAAAAATACAATTGGAATACATTGGACGCAGTTTTGATCCGGTCTGTAAGTGCTCTGCACCTGCTCCGCGCTTGGTGTGAACAAGGCCTTAGGCATTTAGTAGCCACCTGATCTGCTCCAGAGTCACACTGTTGGGCAGAAGGTTCTTGGCTTTGCTAGACTGGGGGAGATGAATGCTCTTGCGCCCCATGGCATTGTTGATGATCTCACCTTGGCCATTTGATCTTTGGAAAGTGGGGGCATCCTTGACAGACAAGACCAGGGGTAGGCAACCTTGGCTCTCCAGCTGTGCTGAAACTACAAACCCCATAAGGCATTGCAAGCCACAGGCATGACTCCCAGAGGCAGAAGCATGATGGAATTTGTAGTTTCAGCACAGCTGTAGAGCCAAGGTTGCCTACCCCTGGACTAGAGAGTTCAGACAAGAAATGTGTCTTCCTAAGAGAGTTGCCAACCGCTCTTATCTACTGGATCCAAACCCTAAATGAAAGATTTGGCTATACATACAGGTTAATGACCATGTTAGGGGGGAAATAAACCAGACACTGCATTCGCTTTGGATAGAGTAGTGAGGGTTAAAACTCATGTCTGATTGTGGAGATTTTCCTTAACTTCCTGTCTCACAGATGCAGGATTCTAAAGGTGCCCATACACCTTACGACCAGCGCAAGACTTTTGTCTTGCGCTGGTCGTAAGCTTATTAAAAGCTCGTATGATCTGTCCATCTTGGACAGGCAGATCATACTTGCGATCATCGAAAGCCCACTCCGCTGAGGGGCGGGCTTCCGATGACCGCAATGAGGGGCGGGCTTCCGATCACTGCAAACGTGCAGTGTGCGCGTTCGGCAGTTGTCGAACAAGCAGGCCACTAACTTGCGACAATTCTCGTCGGGTTTTCAAGCCTGCTTGTTCGACGGAAGACGTGCGACCGTACAGTAGAAACGGTCGCACGCCTTCCATACACTGCACGATTATCGTACGATCGCAGGATTTCCAGCGATTCTCATACGAGAATCGTGCAGTGTATGGGCACCTTTAGACAATTGTCAAAAGACAAGTGTCCACATTGTATTTGCCTCAGTGAGCCCCAAAACAAACAGGAAGGGTAAATCTACCCATGTAGGACACAGACACAAGTACATAGCGTGGCAGGTTTCTAATTCTCTATCCAAAACTAGAAAAAAGTTTTGGTTATATGTACACACTTTAGGGCTTGTTCACACCAAATGCAGACCAGATCTGCATGAGTTTCTGCACACACAGTGCAGTGTGTTCTGCCGCGGGTTTTGTTTTTTAGCCTAAAATGGGCTTCCAGTGCGTTCCAGGGCATTTGCATGCGTTCCAGAGCAGGAAAAATAAGGCTTGCTGCAGTTTTTTTACATGCTCTGGAACTGAACGCTGCGGTGTGAACTAGAGCCCAAAATAACATTGGAATACATTGGATGCAGTTTTGATTCGTTCTGTAACTGCTCTGCTCTGCATCTGCTCCACGCTTGTTGTGAACTAGCCCTTAACCTGGACATATTTGCATGTTTAAAAAAAAGTTTGTTCCTGTTGGAGAAATTCTTCAAGCACGAAATGTTGCTTGACCCATTGAACCTCATTTAGCCATCTAATTGGAACACTGATGTGACATTGACTCAGCGTCTCCAAGCTGATATCAAAGACGTGTGTAGATTTGTCCTGTCTAGTTATTTTTGGGGTATGGTCAGTTTATTCAGTCTCTACAATCAGCCCCCTTAGATTTGGCGGCATCTAAGTGATGTGCAAGCATAAAACCTCACTGAGTGGCAGAAAACTATGGTGAACAGCTCTACAGCAGTGTATATCACACTTAATTGGCTAAGATCAAGTGTAGTATCTGTTCTTATCAGTTTCCGGTGGGGAAAAGAACTGTCCTTTTCGGGGGGGATGGTTACTTAGTACTCGCTGGAGTGAAGGTTTGTGCTGGGCTGCTTCTTGTCAGAGGGGGCACAGCCTGCTATACAGCCTCCTGATGGAGCAGGTGCTCGCTTGGTCTGGCCGGAGGGTTTGGGGGGCGGCAGAGGCCCGTGGTGCTGTGCCCCCTGGAGGTGGCGTTCCAGGGGTGCCAGAGAATCACACTGGGTGTGGGACCCCAGCACTGATTCACTGACACAAGGTCACGGCACTTCTTGCATTTTCTGCACAACGCCTCTTGGACAGGCCTTATGGCTAGTCTGGGGCAATATTTTTGCACTACGGCCCCTAAGGCCTGTTAGCGTGGTGCACTGGCACTTTAGATTTATTTATTGCACGGTTGGCACACTTTTTTATTTTTAAATTTTACCCACAGATGCTGAGGGTGCGGGTACCTTCGGGGCTCATTCCTGACGTAGGGAGGAGATTCTGTGACCCTTATGGGGCCCTCTGTCCTCTCCCACTTGTGGGGGGTTTCTCTTCGGGAGATCCCCCCAACCCAGTACTTGTGGGACCTATTTCGGCAGGTGCCCAGAGGATCGGGGTCCGTCGGCCTTCGGGTTGGTGGACCAAAGTATTCCTAGCCCCTGTCAGGAGCCTTCCCCCCCGGGGTGTCGGGAAATTGTGGCCCCTTCTTTTCGGAGAAGGACCAAGCACCCATGTGCACGTTTTTGTGTGTTGTGATTTCACGATTCACTTTTTTTGTTCACAGCGGATTCGTTTTCGAGCACGCTCCACTGGAAATTTTAAAAACTTAATAGCTGTCCCTTACCTGTCCTGATTTATTCATTGGGGTCCCCTCTCTCATCAAGAATAGGGGAAAAAAGTAATTCAATATGCTTACCTCATCTCCGGCGTCTGCCCAAGGTGCCTAGATGAGGGTAATGTCACACTGCTTCTGACCAGATGCCAAGGAAAGCTTAGTTTCCAAAATCTTACAAGAAGAAGCTGTTGCACTGTGCTGCAGCAACATTTTGTGATAGTTTGGGTACTCAGGATTTCATTTCAAGAATGGTGACATTAGCCCCTGTAGTATGGAAACTGGGTGAATGGGATACCTAATTGCCCTCTGTGTTGTTGTTTTTTAAGCTGCTAATGGTGATGGGGAAAGGACCCTGGTATGTTAAGGGCACCTTGCACATTACTGCAAGTTTCCCCTTAAGAAGTCTTGTCCTCCTCGAGGTGTCCATTGAATTAATGGCCCATGGTCTCCTTATTTGAATAGTGCTGTTTTCTTTGTAGTGGGCAGTTCGGTATTATGTAGTCCAGATGTTCCATGTTTGACAAAATAAGGCCCACCTCTGGGCTGAAGACAAAAATACCCTTGCAGTGGGCACTCCCTTCCTCCCCTGTACTGCAAGGGTTACATGCATGTTAGGTCTATGGTGTACAACAAGAGGAGATATTATTTACCTTAACCCTTACTTTGATGCTCTCCTCTTCTCTCTGACCCTTCGGGCGGTGGGCGGCCCCTCAACATCATCACCCTGCATTGTACGTCGAAGAAATGATTGTGCGACCGTGGCAAAGAATGTCTTAGAGAAGAGGCTTCAGTTGAGCGGTCGCACAGATGGAGAGAACCTTATGCCTGCACCCCTAGACTTAACAAGCAGTTAACCCTTGCAGTGAATGAATGTGCTTTCAGCAGCTTGCGGTTAACCCTTACTCTCTGTGAAATCTCCCCCTTGGGGTCTGTTTCGTAGCGCAGAATACTCAACCTTTTATTTGAATGTGCTAGTAAACCTGTTCTCTGTAAAGAAGCTAGTAAATACTTACCGCTCCTGCTGCTGCAGTCACCAAATGCTGTTGTAAAAAAGAGGATCTGCCAACTAATATCTCTTCAGAAAATTGCACTTCTGGTCCCCCAGCTGCATTCCATAGACACAGGACACAATAGTGATGTTGGGGTTGGCGGGAGACATCAATGAGTGCAGATAGGGAACAGGTGTATTGGCACTTTTAT